CGGAGAAGCCTCCCGGGGGCCGGAGATGGCGGAGCCCCCCGGGGGAGCCGGAGAGGCCTCTCGGGGACCGGAGACTCGTAGCCCCCTCGGGGGAGCCGGAGAAGCCTCCCGGGGCCGGAGAAGCCTACGGGGGCCGGAGACTGCGGAGCCCCTCGGAGGAGCCGGACTCGGGCCGGGAGCCGGAGAAGCCTCCTGGGAGCCGGAGACTGCGGAGCCCCCGCGGGGGAGCCGGACTCCGGCCGGGTCTCGGAGAAGCCTCCCGGGGGCCGGAGAAGCCTCTCGGGGGCCGGAGACGCGTAGCCCCCTCGGGGCAGCCGGACTCGTGCAGGGAGCCAGAGAAGCCTCCCGGGGGCCGGAGAAGCTTACGTGGGCCGGAGAGGGCGGAGTCCCCCGGGGGAGCCGGAGAAGCCTCCCGGGGGCCGGAGACGGCGGAGCCCCGCGGTGGAGCCACAGAAGCCTCCCGGGGCCGGAGAGGCCTACGTGGCCCGGAGACGGCGGCGCCCCCCGGGGGAGCCGGAGACGGCGGAGCCCCCTCGGGGGAGCCGGACTCGGGCAGGGAGCCGGAGAAGCCTCCCGGGGGCCGAAGAAGCCTACGGGGGCCGGAGACGGCGGCGCCCCCCGGGGGAGCCGGAGACGGCGGAGCCCCCTCGGGGGAGCCGGACTCGGGCAGGGAGCCGGAGAAGCCTCCTGGGAGCCGGAGAAGCCTCCCGGGGGCCGAAGAAGCCTACGGGGGCCGGAGACTGCGGAGCCCCCTCGGGGGAGCCGGACTCGGGCCGGGAGCCGGAGAAGCCTCTCGGGGGCCGGAGACTCGTAGCCCCCTCGGGGGAGCCGGACTCGGGCAGGGAGCCGGAGAAGCCTCCAGGGGGCCGGAGAAGCTTACGTGGGCCGGACTCGGGCAGGGAGTCCCCCGGGGGAGCCTGAGAAGCCCCCCGGGCAGCCGGAGAAGCCTCGCGTGGGCCGGAGAAGTCTACGGGGGCCGGAGACGGCGGAGCCCCCTCGGGGGAGCCGGACTCGGGCCGGGAGTCGGAGAAGCCTCCCGTGGCCGGAGAAGCCTCCCGGGGGCCGGATACGGCGGAGCCCCCCGGGGAAGCCGGACTCTGGCCTGGAGCCGGAGAAGCCTCCCGGGGGCCGGAGACGGCGGAGCCCCGCGGTGGAGCCACAGAAGCCCCCCGGGGCCGGAGAGGCCTACGTGCCCCGGAGACGGCGGCGCCCCCCGGGGGAGCCGGAGACGGCGGAGCCCCCTCGGGTGAGCCGCAGAAGCCTCCCGGGGGCCGGAGACTGCGGACCCCCCTCGGGGGAGCCGGACTCGGGCCGGGAGCCGGAGAAGCCTCCCGGGGGCCAGAGACGGCGGAGCCCCCTCGGGGGAGCCGGACTCGGGCAGGGAGCCGGAGAAGCCTCCTGTGAGCCGGAGACTGCGGAGCCCCCGCGGGGGAGCCGGACTCCGGCCGGGACTCGGAGAAGCCTCCCGGGGGCCGGAGAAGCCTACGGGACCAGAGACGGCGGAGCCCCCCCGGGGTAGCCGGAGAAGCCTCTCGGGGGCCGGAGACGCGTAGCCCCCTCGGGGCAGCCGGACTCGTGCAGGGAGCCGGAGAAGCCTCTCGGGGGCCGGAGACGCGTAGCCCCCTCGGGGGAGCCGGACTCGGGCAGGGAGCCGGAGAAGCCTCCCGGGGGCCGGAGAAGCCTCTCGGGGGAGCCAGAGACTCGTAGCCCCCTCGGGGGAGCCGGACTCGGGCCGGGAGCCGGAGAAGCCTCCCGGGGGCCAGAGACGGCGGAGCCCCTTCGGGGAAGCCGGACCCGGGCCGGGAGCCGGAGAAGCCTACGGGGTCCGGAGACGGCGGAGAACCCCCGGGGGAGCCGGAGAAGCCTCCCGGGGGCCAGAGACAGCGGAGCCCCCTCGGGGGAGCCGGACTCGGGAAGGGAGCCGGAGAAGCCTCCTGGGAGTCGGAGAAGCCTCCCGGGGCCCGGAGACGGCGGAGCCCCCGCGGGAGCCGGAGAAGCCTCTCGGGGGCCGGAGACGGCAGAGCCCCTCGGGGGAGCCGGACTCGGGAAGGGGGCCGGAGATGGCGGAGCCCCCGCGGTGGAGCCGGACTCCGGCCGGGAGTCGGAGACGCCTCCCGGGGGCCGGAGAAGCCTACGGGCCCAGAGACGGCGGAGCCCCCCCGGGGTAGCCGGAGAAGCCTCTCGGGGGCCGGAGACGCGTAGCCCCCCCGGAGGAGCCGGACTCGTGCAGTTAGCCGGAGAAGCCTACGGGGTCCGGAGAGGGCTGAGCCCTCCCGGGGGCCGGAGAAGCTTACGTGGGCCGGAGAGGGCGGAGCCCCCCGGGGCAGCCGGAGAAGCCTC